AGTGTGTACATGTGTGCACATGGGCACCCACACCCAGGTGGGTCTGGATAGGGAAGAAAGGAGAAGGTGCTACTCTACACATTCTGCTGTCACTAATGCCCTGTGTGACCTTAGCCAACTCCATCACCTTCTCAGGGCTTTGGTTTCCCCTGGCCATAAAATATGGGGTTAATTGTCCCTCCTGGGGAAGCTGGGAGGGTTAATTGGGCAATGGCTCTGAAGTGTATAGGAAGAGAAGGAGATCTATAAATATAAGGGATCATTAGAGGGTATTTCACAGCCGTTTTGTGGGCCCCAATGTTATTATTAATATTATTATTATTGTTATTGTTATTGACACCTTCGCCCACTTCCTGAGTCTCTGCCAGTTGGATGGGCACTTCCAGCTGAAGTTAGGCTCCTGATACCAGCGTCTCAGCCAGTGGCCTCCCTGAATCCACACCATCCACACTCAGGGTGACTAGGGAGCCCTCAGAAAGCTAGTAATGGCAATAGAGATAGAACTTAGACAGAAGGGGATCAGGGACCCAGAAGGGAGAGGGAGCCAGTGCCCACTCCAAGGAAATTCACAACCCACTGTGGTCTCTAGGAACTGTCCAGTCTGCTGTGCCTGGAGTCAGCAGCAGATACGGAGCTGCGGTAGTCAGGGTCAGGAGGGGTGGCGTGGGGTTGAGTGCAGGGAAGAGACTGAAGTGGAGAGAGGATGCTGTCACTAGAGGTAGTAAAACAAGCTGGTGGGTAGGAAATGGTGCCTTGAAGAGGCAAATGGCTCTTTCCAAGGAGACTTTGTAGAGGCTGGACCATACCGTTCCCAGGTGAAGCAGAGAATGGGTCAGGCAAACAGGAGGCACTCAGTGCATGCTTGTTACGTGGAATTTCCATATCTGCCTTCCCTTCCTATGAGGTAAAAACCCTACATGTGGGGATTTGAGAGTTGCTGGGAGAGTGCACCTTGAAGGTTCTCCTTGCAAGAAAAATCAGGTAACTCTGTGTGGTGATGGATGGCAACTAGACCTGTTGTGATGATTTCTCAATATATACAAACATCAAGTCACTATGTGGTACACCCGAAACTAATATAATGTTATATTTCAATTATACTTGGGTGGAAAGAAACAGCATCTGCTTTTGGAAATGCCTTGGGCTTGGGCGCCCTCTGGTGGTGACATGCAGAGGCTGAGGGGACACCAGTGCCTTCCACCCTAAGCTCCTTGGGGGTGGGGAGCTGCCCTTTCTACCTTAGCTGCACAGACCTCAACCCAAGGGCACTGGAGTAGGAAGAACCAGGGAAGAAAGAACCCTGTGGGGAAGTATGGGTGGAATGTCTTTACTGGAAGATTCTGTGGCAGTTGGTGGACAGCCATCGATCTGGGCAGGGGAACCAGGAGGCAGAGGGAGTTGATGAGTCAGGGCATGGGTCAGGAGTAGCACCCCTGGGCAGAGGAGAAAGAGGGGTGACTGTGTGTGTGCACCCAGGGTGCTGAGTGGGATAGCTGCCAAAGAATAATAGGGAGATGTATTTTACAACCTCTGTCCACTTTTTATACTCACAAAAGACTAAGGAACCCTAGATAACTGAACTCAGATGAACCTGGGATGAAGAGATAACCATGATTGGTTTATTTATTTAATATCTTCTTTTAGAGAGAGAAGGGAGAGGGAGAGAGAGAGAGATAGAAACATCAATGAGAAACATCCATCGACTTCCTCCTGCACATCCCCTACTGGGGATTGAGCCGGCCACCCGGGCATGTGCCCCAACCAGGAATCCAACCAGTGACCTCTTGGTGCATGGGACTACTCTCATGGTGCATAGGACTAACCAACTGAGCCACACCGGCTGGGCAACCATGTTTATTTAAACTAGGTGTCTGCCTCATCAAATCTTCCTTTGAGCATATAACAGTGTCGGGATGGTTTCAAAAGTCTACAACTTTGATTTCTCTGTGGGTGGAAAGAGAAGAGAATGTAGAAAACCAGAGGTGGGAAAAGGGAAAAGCAGAGGCTACTGGGAAAATCCTTAAGGCATAATGAACAAACTTTAGAAGGCTGAGTTGGCTGTAATTCTTCAAAAATAAACAACAAAGCTGGGGTCATAGCTATCAGAGAGGACCAACAGAGTCAAGAGCTGGGACATTGATATTCTAGTTTCTGGACATCCAGCACCAGCGGGAACATGCGGTTGCTTTCATAGGAGGCCCCAGAGGAATTTGGAGCTTAAGGGCAGAGACTGATTCTGCATCCATCCATCTCTCCCTCTAGTGCCCTCAGCATCCTTGGGGATAAACACTCATTTTCTGGTACTAATCAGATGGAGGCAACCACATTCAAAAGAGAAGAACAAGAGAAACATTAGGAAAAGCATGGAGAAATAAAGAAGGAAGGGGGTTAAGAGGCAGACGGGGAAGGAGAAGTGAAATGGAGGTGGAAGAAGCTGGGCCTGAAAGAGAAAGGGATAAGTCCTTGAAAAGGGTTAGAAGGATATAGTCAGTCAGCCAGTCAACAAACATCTACGGTGTACCTACTATATACCAAGCAAAAAGCTGCGAGTGGAAGGTGCAGTGGTAGACAAGACAAAATGGGGCTTTTAGGGGTGGGGAATAGTTAGCTTTGTAAATTAGAAATGGGGAGAAAGTGACTATTTAAAGCAGGAAGAAGCAGTTGGAAACAAGACGGAAACTATCACTGAGAACCTGCCCCAGATACACGGGGGAAGAGATATCTCCCCAACCGAAGTTGAGACACAGCTGGAACCACCTGTTGTCACAGGTAGGGTGGGGAAGGGGAGGGACAGGAGTGGGTGGGGGTGGAAGGCACAGACTGTTCAAGTGAAAAACTAGTTGCTTGAGCACCCCCAGCGGAAAGATACCTTTGGGCTAAGGAGTGGTTCTCAACATTTGGCTGCCCCCTGGAATCACCTGAGGAACTTCTTAATACTGTCACTTGGGTCCCAACCCCAGAGATTCTGATATCCTTGGCCTGGGATGGGACTCAGACTTTGGCTGCCTGGCCTCCTTCCTCTCTGTTGAGGACGGGGCTATCCTGAAAGACGTGATCTGTGGGAATAGAAGTTGTGAAGTGGTTTGGGAGGATCGTAAATGATGCTCAAAGCCTTCAAGGGTCCTGGCAAAAGTATAAGGGGGTCCTTTCCTTAGACAGTGCCCACTTCCTCAGCTGTGCCTCTACTGTGAGGGGCCAGACAGGCTAGAAACTAAGAAAGAAAGAAAATGGCAATTTCCAAGAGAAGAACCATCAAGTAATTCAAAACTGCTGCCAAATTCTTCTAAGATTCTGCACCCTGTCTTCCCATGCACTCACAGGCACACTTTTTTTTTTCACTTCTGTTGTCTTCATGATGGGGCTCCCAGGGTTGGGAGAAGCACAGCTGCCCCCAGCTTTCATCCCACAAAAGCACTGGCAGTGGCCCAGCAGGATATTCAACCCCACCTCCCCCCTCAAATCCCTGAGTCACTGAACCCGGGTGGAGTCCTTAGTCTGACAGTGAAGCAATCTTCAACTTGAAAAATGGCCTGGGAACAGAATGTGTGGTCTATATAAACAAGTCATATGTAGATGTAATTGTATGCAAACATTCATTCTTTAACTCAGCACACATTTCCTGCCAGTCCTCGGTGTACTGCCTCAATCCTCCCATGGCCACTCAAGATCTAGCAGGGAGTTAGCAGTGAAAATAAGTGCACAAATTACTCACACTTGTGCCAAGAACTGTTCGGAGAAGGAAAAAGCTGTGGCTGGGAGAGAGTTTGTGAACTTTGAGCAGAATCTTGAAGGATGTGTAGGAGTTTACCAAAAGAAAGGAAGGATTAGGTAGGAAGGGAAACAGCAGAGAGAAGCATTAAGTGTTAGGAACTGTGAAGTATTTCCTTGAGGCAAAAGGAGAGGGTTTGTAGGAAGTAAATGGGGTGGGGAGGGAGATAAAGCATGACATGTACAAGTAAGGAGCCTGTTGGCCTAAAAAGTGAAGTTTGGTACCCTGCAGGTGTGGCTCGGTGGTTGAGCCTTGACCCATACACCAAGAGGTGGCTGGTTTGATTCCTGCCCAGGGCACATGCCCAGGTTGTGGGTCAAATCCCCAGTGAGGGGCATGCTACAAGCAGCCACTTGATGTTCTCGCTCACAGATGTTTCTCTCTCTCCTTCTCCCTTCCTCTCTCTCTAAAATCAATAAAGAAGAAGAATAAAAAAAAGTGAAGTTTGGGCCTTTTACCCAGAAAGGAGCACAGGGCCAATGAAGGATCTTAGAGGAGTGATATCTTTCTAAAGTCTTGTTTTTCAAAGGCTAAGGCTGAGAGATGTAGACAGGAAGACTATTAACCTTTATTCAGCAATTACTGTGCATTGGGTATTCTGCTCAGTATTTTATATTATTTTTATCACACCAATCCTTTATGATAGTTTTTCAAACTTCCAGAAAAGAAAGAAAAAAGGAAGGAGCCCTGGCTGGTTGCTCAGTGGTTAGAGCGTCGGCCTGTGGTCCCGAGAGACCCAGGTTCGGTTCCCACTAAGGGCATGTACCTCGGTTGCAGTTCGTCCCCGGCCCTGGTTGGATCCTGCGGGTGGTGGCCACTGGATGTGTCCCTTTCTTTTTTTTTTTTTTTTTTTTTTTAATCCTCACCTGAGGACATTTTTCCATTTTTTGTACAGATAGAGTGGGAGGGAGAGAGGGAAACATCGATGTGAAAGGGACACATCGAGTGGCTGCCACCCGCACGACCAACCAGGGCCGGGGACAAACTGCAACCGAGGTACATGCCCTCAGCGGGAACCGAACCCGGGTCTCTCCGGACCGCAGGCTGATGCTCTAACCGCTGAGCCAAACCGGCCAGGGCTGGATGTGTCCCTTTCGCATGGATGTTTCTCTCTCTTCCTCTCTCTCCCTCCCACTCTATCTGAACAAAAAAATGGAAAAATGTCCTCGGGTGAGGAAAAGAAAAAGAAAGGAAGGAGATAGGACAGGATTCAAAATATCAGAGAGAAAGTATTGTTTTGGGAAAGTTTGTTATACACTCTCATAGGAGTATAAGTGTACTGGGCCAGAATGCAAATGTATTTCTCACCGTGGGTTATGGTTCTTTTGTTTGTTTAATGGAAAGCCAGTAGGTGTGATCAATAGCTTCCTCTTACAGATGAGGACACAGGCTCACAGGTTTGATATCCTGCCTCTCTGCAAGTTTCCAACCAAGGCTGGTAGAAAGCCAGAGTGGATTCCTTTTCACTGATGCGAGGCAGCCTTCCCAAATTGCATGTCTACAGAAAAGACCTGGGAGAGAAAGATAAACCTACACGGATAGCACCTGCCAAGTGCTTGACTCACCGCACCTCTTTCAGAGGGAACCAGCTCGGTCCGCGCGAGGCGCTGGTTAGAATGCGTGTTCCGGGAGTGCCCCAGTGGTACAGGACAGGCTTAAGAAAGGTGGCCCAGGGAATCTACTATGGAGCTTCAGGATATTCTGATAACCCACGTTTGGGGACCGTCAGAGGGTCACTGCAATAACAAGGGCCTGAACTGAGACGGTGAAATAATTCCCTCTCTCAGAAGTCACGTAGCCCCAACTCCCGCATTGTGTCAACACCTCGTTTTACAAAGCTGCCTGGGAGTTCATTTCTCTCTCCCGAGGCGATGAAGGACGAGGGACTAAATAAAAGGCTAGTGGCTTTCCACTCACCAGACGTGGGACTGAGTGGCCGAAGAGCAGGAGTCCCTGCTACACCACGGCGACACTGGATCGAGGCGTAATTTATACGCGATTCACAGGGCTTTTCAGGGCCTCACCCTGAGGACTTGTGATTGGCTTTAGGACAGATCTATCACTCATCCCCTGGGTTAGAGGTGGGTGGAAGGTCAACCACTACCAATACAAAACCACTCCTCAGCTAAGCACCGCCCTATCCAGCTTCCTGTTGCTGTCCATCAACCACCTCGTGGGCGGGACTTTGCTTCCCTCCAGTTGGCTGGCAAACACGTCGTTCACTCTTTAGTAGACTTCCGGTTGGTGCCTTCTACCGTCCATCAGTTACATTTCACAGTTCTATTGGCCAAACCAACGTCGCTCTAGATACCTCTCTTTGATTGGCTAATAGTGCTGTCGGTCCCCAATGTACTGCACTCTTATTGGTGAACGCTGCCGTCGCTCGGGCGGTGGCGGGCTCCGGGATTGGCGGGTGCTGGGCGGGCGGTGTCAGGCTCTCGGTGGCGGCGGAGGCGGCGGAGGCCAGGGAGGAAGATGTCGTAATGAGCGGTGGGTCCTGGCCGCTGCCGGCGGGATCTTCCTGGCCCCCAAGGGTCGGGAAGACGGGCAGAGGCCGCAGGGAGGGGGAACCGGGGCCGGGGGTTGCCCACTGGGGCCGGGCCCGGCGCCGGGGCCCGGCTTCGGGAGGGGCGGGGGAGGGAGGATTCCCGCCCGGAGGAGGAGCGGGGCTGGCCAGCCGGGCGGAGGCACCCGGAAGGGGGCGTTCGACTCCCCGCCCCCTCGGAGCCCGCTGGGCGGGAGGGCAGCGCTTCCGGGGGCTGGAGAGAGGAGCGGGCACCTGGGGCCAACCTGGCACCCCCCCCCCCACTGCCCGGGCGCCGACATCCCCCCCCCCCCAGCGCTGTCCGGCCCGTGGATATTGTTTGGGCCTGCTCCGAGGAGGCGGCCGACGCCCCTTCGCGCTTACCCTCTGTTGGAGGACTCTCCTGCACTCTAACTCTAGGTGCCCACCAGGGATTCAGGGCTCGTCCGAGGGCAGAGAGGGACAAGGGAGTGCTTGAAATTCAGACGGCGCCAACCACATGGGCACTGCTGGGTGTAGAAGCCAACATGGTTACCAGTGTATCCCAACTGAGAGATGGTGTCGCGACACGAGGGCGCTCCCTAGGCAAGTGACTTCTCGCCTTAGACTGCGAGTAGGCAAAACCTTAAGTTAGTTCACTTGGATTCTTGAGCCTCCAGCTAAATATATGCAAAACCCGTGAGACGTTTAAGAACTTATTGACAGAGCTAGCCCGTGAACCTGCTGTACCGTTGAGGGGACTGCTGAATCCCAAAGGCTAGGCACAAACCTAAGGAATGAACAAAAGAAATAAAATGGATACTTCCTTTCTTCCACCCCACCTCCATCCCCATTGTTAACATGAATCTCAGCCCATAACCGGTGCTTCTTGGCATATGTTCCTGGTGGCTTTATAATATTAGTTGAAAAGGAACTGTGTCTTCTCTGGGCAATTGAGAAACCTGTCTTCACTGCATTCCTTGGTTTTGATTCCAATATACTGTCTTGTTTAATTGTTTCTTAATTAACTTGATCCAGAGAGACTCAGTCTGGCTTTTCTCAGTACACATTTTCCCAAACCTTGTTTCTTCTTCTGCGTTAACTTCTTGCTCACTTGTTTGTTGTTTTCTGGAAAAGGGGAGGGAGGAGCCAATACTTTAAGCAATGAATTGGGCCATGGCATGGTCTTCCATTATACCGATTTCATTGCGGATCAATGGTGATGCCTATTTTAAGGTACACTGGCATGCACTCTAAAACTCACAGGCTGTACCCCAAAAGGCGTTAAGTATTACAGTGGAGGGCTAAGTGTTTAGTTGGTATTTTGGGTAAGGTTTTTAGGCCTAGAAAGTTTTAGAGTGTTGGCCAGCTCACAGAGAGGCTGTGAAAAGAATGATGGTGGAGTCCACACCATAGAAGGGATTTTGATTAATGACAAAGAAACCTGTTGTCTGCAATAAATATAATTGCAGTGACTTGTCTTTTAAATTCTTGTGTGTGATAGAGGGGGCTAATCTGTCATACAACCTATCAGTTGGGCTGATGAGGTCAGTGGCTTCTAACAGGCATTAATACCTGTTGGAAATGGATTCTTATTGGGACAATTGGTAATATTTCTAATTCCGGGTTTTCCACTTGATTGTACAGAAGCTTAACCTCTTTGTTTAAAAGCAGCAACAAGAAAGAAAAAGCTGTTCTGACATATATGAGCCCCCTGAGTAGGGTGTTCAAGACAGTCTCTGCTAAGGAGACCCAGGTAGAACTGATCACCCAGCAGGGAGAACTGGCTTCAGGAGGCAGAGTTTGGCATCGCTGTTGATAGCACATAGATTAGCCGACTTTTTCTCTCTCAGATTCTATTAAAGTTTGGGCCTCTGGAGACCTGTCAGAGGAGAGAAGAAGCTGTAAGAAAATTTTAGCAGATGTCTGAGTTGTTCATTTTGGTATCTTGGCCTTGAACTTCCTAGTTCTGTATATTAATAGCAGTCTTTTGGAGAAGTTGCAGGGTCCCTTGTAGCCTGAACAGTCCTTTACCACAGATACATAATAATTCTTAAGCTTGCAAGTATTGCCCAAGTAGGGCCCTGTGAAGACATTCTAAGCTTGTTGCAGCCAACCAATACACCCTGGTATTGACTTGGGTTCAGCAATTTTCTAGACCTTACTCACCCCCATTTCTATGATCGAAATGTAGTATGATCTTCTTCTAAGACTTATCTTCACTCCTCTGTTCTCTGTATATACACAATTGGAAGCCTCGCTTCCAAAGATTTAAAAACTAGGGAATTAATTTAGAGGGGGTGGGCAGTTGCCACAGAATAAAGATGCAGAGAAACACTGCTTAAAGGATGTGTAGAATATTAGAACGTTTAGAGATACAGTTGTTTGAACACTTCTGAATTTAACCAATTACATGGTCCAATGTGAAGCCTTGTGGACTGCAAACTTGAAGTCAAATCTAGTTGGAGAAGCTCCTATACTTGCTTAGGAGTTTGTTGGGTGATAGTGTCCCTTTGGGGTTTGGGAACTTCTTCCCAACAAGTTTGAGCCAGGAACACTTGGTCTCCATGCTGGATCAAACCAGTACATGCTGGGCTGAGAAACAGACATCATTATGGAATGCATTTGTTGATGTTTTTGCTTGTTTGGTTTTTGCTTTGCTTTTATTTTAGATCCACATGCAACTCGTGTGTGACTTCTGGACCTGTTGAAGGAGGGAAGCGGGGAGCTTTCTCTTCATTGCTTCCTTCATAGAGCCAGAGCTTAGATCTTCATATTTCTGAAATGCAGTTGAAAGTCTGAAAGTCTCTCTTAAGATGTTCTTCCTAAATTATCAGCTGAACTTTTTTTTTTTGGCTGGCATCTTCTTAGGAGCCCTCAGGGTGGGGAGGTCTTACTTTTCTGTTATCTATTGGAGCTAAGAGAAAAGAAGGTAAAAACCTAGGCAATTACTAATTCAAGGGCATTGCTAGCCTAAGTAGGAAAGGGATTAGAAAGTACCCTTGAGGAGATGCTCCCAGGTTGTATTGGTGGATTTGTTCCAGTTGACAGGATTCCAAAATGGAAAACTGATTTTTTTCTACTGCTGAAGAGAGAGCGCAGGAGCAAGCTGAGTCAGCACTCACAGCCTGGGGGAAGCTGTGGCTTCCACTGCATGTCTAGGAAGCGCTCTTTGCACATGCTCTGAGGCCTCCCCTGGCACAGGAAATTACTATACTTCTCATCAGAGTGGGCTTACGGCTGGTGTGCTCTGCTCAGGAGCAAGGGAGAGTGAGCTAAGTGCCCAGTTTAGAGATTTCTCAGTTTACCCACTGTGAGTAGCTCTGAGTAGTGTTGAGGTGTCAAGGTTGTTTGTGTCACAGAAAGAGCATGCTTACAGACCCAAGTGTTTAACTCCTTTGGCCATCTCATTCCTTAGCTACAGTTTGTTTCAACATCAGAGTTGCATGCTGTACGTAGCCAGAAACCCCAGAACATCACAATGCAGAGGTTTAGCTTGGGTGACTTGCCTTTACAGTAAGGGCTCTGAGATGCCAGTTTGTCCCTAGGCTGTTAGGTGGCCTTTTTCATCTCAGCCATATGGTGAAAATGGCGCAGGGACCAGTAAGCACTGGCCTGCACATTTCCAAATGTCCTCTTTCTAGAGCTTCCTCTTTAGAGAATTTGTTACCTCTCCTATGGGACTTGGTGGAATGACAAAGCAGCCTCTCTAGAGAGTGTGACTAGGGAATAAGAGACAGCAGGCAGGACCGTGTGATTGGAAGTGGAATATTTCTGCCTCTGGTCAGTGTCTAATTGGAAGTCTCAGATTAGCCTATAAACAGACCAAAACATTTCCCAGCCTTCAAAAAAGTAATTGGTAAGCCAACCCTTTCTTCCCAGGGGAAATGAAGTCACCACTAATTTCAAAAGCCGATCCTAGCCCAGGGATTGACTTAGATAAATATGCCAAAGCAGAGAAAGCATGCATTTTTACATAATGATATTCGTTAGGGGGAAAATATATTTTGGTTCTTTTTCTCTTCTTGTTTTCCAAGACAGAATTCTGACGCCCAGTATTCTTTTCACTATTTCCTGGGACTGCTTCCATCAGAATGAAGAGTTCTCACCATTCCCTGCTGCCCTGTGTTCCCACTCATTTCTCCAGAGTCCCTTCCAGCATGCAGAGGTGGTGGTGAAAGCAATCAGATTCTGAATACATATATATATATTTTTGGACTTTTTTTTTTTTAAGAGAAGAAGGGAGAGAGAGAGAAACATTGATGTGAGAGTGAAACATCATTCCGCTGCCTCCTGTACACCCTGCACTGGGGATCAAGCCCACAACCCTGGCACATGCCCTGACCAGGAACTGAACCTGCAACCCTTTGGTGCACGGGACAACACCCAACCAACTGAGCCACACCAATCAGGGAAGATTCTGAATATATTTTGAAAATAGAGCCAAAAGTGTTTGTGACTCAAATGCAAAGTGGAAAAAAAGAAGGGTCCAGGATGACTCCCAAGGCTTTAGGGCTGAGCAGCTGGAGGGATGGCGTATCAGTCACTGCAGTGGGGAAGTTTGACAGAGGCACAGAATTAGAGAGGTATCAGTAGCCCTGTGTGGGGCTAGTTAGATTTGAAATGCTTACTAATACATCCAAGTGGAGACTGCATTAGGCAGTTGAATATACAAATCTGAGTATATAAATTTGGGAGTTATCATCATGTGGAACCTATATGTTAATTGGTTTTTAAAACTATGAGACTAGATGAAATCACCCAGAAAATATGTGTAAACTGAAGAAAAACAAGTCTCCAGACTAAGTCCTGGGTCAGCCCAACCATTTGGAATTTGAGAGAAGGGAGGACCCAGCAAAGGAGTCTTATAAGAGGTAAGAGGCCAACCTAGCAAGTGTGTTTGGGAGCCAAGTGAATGTTTCAAGGAGGAAGAGGGGTCAACTGCCATATCAACACAGAAGATGAGGTCTAAGAATTAACCATTAGACAGCAAGGTGGAGGTCACTGGTGGTGTGAGTAGTTTTTGTGGCGTGGATAGGGCAGGCACCCTGGTTGGAGCAGGGTGAAGAAAGACTGGCAGAGAAATTAGGGACAGTAAAATACAAGTGACTCTTCCAAGGAGTTTTACTTGGGGGGTAGGAAGAAATAATAGATCTTAGCTGATGAAGGGAATTTTTTTTTTTTTTTTAATCCTCACCCAAGGACACTTTTCCTTTTTTGTTCAGACAGAGTGGGAGGGAGAAAGAGGAAGAGAGAGAGAGAGAGAAACATCAACGTGAAAGGGACACATTGAATGGCTGCCACCCGCACAACCAACCAGGGCGGGGGACAAACTGCAACCGAGGTACGTGCCCCTAGCAGAAACCGAACCCTGGTCTCTCTGGACCGCAGGCCGATGTTCTAACTGCTGAGCCAAACTGGCCAGGGCTGATGAAGGGAATTTTAATTTCTTGATGAAATAGTGGACATACATCAGGGTCATAGGCCAAGGCTAAGGTCAAAGTTGGGAGTAGGGAAGATTGGATGGCTTGGTCAAGTGTCTGGGTAGAGACAAGATCTCCATTCTTTATTTACCTCCCTCCTTTGGCCTGTGGATTAGCAAAGCATCACCCAGAGTTGTTCATATTTAATGAAAGTCAAAGAAATTCCTTTTACTGTTGTAGAACTCCTTTATATGATTATTGTGGTTGCTGGAGATTTGCTTCTCATACTATGCAATTTGGACTCATTCACAAGCTGATTCTCTTGGCCCATTTGTCAACTCCCTTTGAAGTCCAACTTTGTTCTCTCAAACCGGCCTGGCTTGTTTTTCCCTTACCAGCTCCGAATTCTTCCAGGCTAGGCAACTGGGAAAGGCTTGCTTTTCCCTTACCAGCTCTGAATTCTTCTAGGCTAGGCAACTGGAAAAGACTAGGCTTAGAAACTGTTTTGTTGGCTTTAGGCCCAGCTGAGCTGACCAAAATAGACAGCAGAAGGACTGTTTGTACGGAGTGAAATACCTCCAGGGGAAATACCATAGCTGTAGTCCAAGAAAGCTATAGCTGGGATGGCTTTCCTGAGGCAAAAAAAAAAAAAAGCTGAGTACCCATAAGGCCTGGCTATGGAGTTTGAGCCAAGTTCTCTCAGGGATAAGAGCTTTGTGAAGCCCACTGTTGCGGTATTTCTTTGGGCCCCTTTTCTCTCTCATGCCCAGTGTCTCAAGAGAAAGAAAGACCAGTGAAACAGCCCCTAGTCTGGTGGCCAGAGCTTTGGGGTCCCTCGGGCCTCTTCCTGTTATGTGGTGCTCCCTGTGTCAGCCCATGGAAAGATCGGTAGGGCAGAGACACTCCCTCCTGCATGGTGGGGGAAGGTGTTGTGAAGGATGCCCTGGGCCTATACACTGGCCCACAGCAGGGGCATTTGCCCCGCACTTTGAGGGGGTGGGCGGAGAGGAAAGTCTTTTCCCTCTAGTAAGTAAGTTATAACTGAGCTCTGAAGGAAGACTGGAGACAGACTAAAAGAAAACAGTATGCTTGGGCTCCAAATGAGAGAGGGCGTGTTATAGTTCCAGAAATGGAGAAAACTGGTGTGCCGACAGGAGAGTTGGAGGGCAAGAGATAAAGCAGGAGAGGTAGAGGGGCCCGGGGAAGGCTGAGGGAGGGGGCAGATTGTTTTGGCCTCTACACCTTATTTTAAGATCAACTCACTGGAAGCTCTTGTAGGGTTTAGGGTTTAATCAGGGGAGTGGTTGGATGGAATTTGCATTATAAAATGATTCTGACCAAATTATGGAAGCTGGATAAGAGGGGCAAGACCCAAGCTGGGAAGCCATTTGGAAGGCTTTGGGCAATATTTCAGGCTGGGCTGAAGGTGGTTAATGCTAGGATAGTGGAGATGGAGATGAGCAATGAGTAGACTGGAGAAAGGTTTGTGTTTAGGAGGAAGAAGAATGAGGACTTGATGGATTGGCAGTGAGGGTGACGCTTAGGTTTCTTTGTGATTGGAAATATCAGAAGAGAGGCTGGTTTAATAGACATTCACTCAGCCTGCAGCACTGAAGGGTCGCTGTGCTATGTACCAGGCTTGGTGTATCTGTTCAGCAGTGGAAACAGGTGGCCCACTCTGGGGAGCCCTCCCAGGAGTATGAGAGAGACATTAAGCCCATGATTATCTAATGGGTGGTATTACCAGAGGAATTAACTTCATCTCAGGGGTCCTGGAAGGCCTGTTACATAGTAGGCTCTCAATAAATTTTGCTGAGAAAAAAACAGGCTGAGACCTGAAGGATGAGTAGGTGTTAGCCAGTAAGAGAAGAAAGAGCTCTAATCAAGGAAAGGGCAGTGGCAGAGATGAGGGCTCCAAGGATCTGGCACCAGGGGATGAGAAAGCTGGGAGAGAATGGGCAAAGGTGACAGCTCAGTGTTGGAAGTTCTGAGGGCAGCCCAAGTAAAAGGCCCACAGAGGGCTGGATGTACTGGTCTGTACTCGGAAGAGACCTGGGCCACACAGAGACCTAGGGGTCGTCAGCCTATGGAAGGTAACTGAAGCATGTCGGTGGACACGGTCACCTATGAAACAGGCACTGAGAAACATCAGTATTTACGGGGTGGCAAAAGGAGGAGGAGCCCACAAGGGAAAGAGGTGACTGGAGAGGTAGGAGAAAATCCATGGGGCTTTCAAGGAGGTGGGAATGGTCAAGAACTGAAGAGGGTCTCTTGGATTTAGTAATGAGGAGGTCTTCGGTGACCTGAGCAAGGGCAGAGAGCTGGGGTGAAAGTCCCAGTGCCACAGCTAGGAAAGTGAACAAGTGAGAAAGGAGGGGGCTAGGAGGTTTGGCCCAGGAGGAAGGAAGAGAAGGCTGCAGCTGGAGAGGATGGAGGTGGAGATGAATGAGCTGTCTGTACATCAAGAGCTGGGATACTCAGCGGGTCTTAGAATTAAACTGGTTTCCATTATAGAGAAAGGAAAGACAGGTGTGGTCCCAGCAGGCACTGGACTCCCTGTTTGATGCCCTTGGAAGTTTTCCTTGAAGCCTAAGAGAGCTACTATTGCTTGTATCGTAAATCACTGTGAAACTTACACCAGCCAAGGAACTGTTGGGAAAGTTTTAGCTAACCTGAATGATAGAACTCTTAAAGAAATTACACTTTCTCTTTCAAGAATATGTAATAATCCCACTTGCCAGTGTTGCTAAATGTAGGTTTCAGTGACTGGATGTAAGCTGCTGTTAGCCCTGGCTGGTGTGGCTCAGTTGGTTGAGTGTTGTCCCATGCACCAGGAGGTCCCCAGTTGGATTCTCCATCAGGGCACATGCCCACATGCCTGGGTTGTGGGCTTGATCCCCAGTAGGGGGCGTGTAGGAGGCAGCTGATTGATGATTCTCTCCAATATTTCTCTCTCCCTCCCTCTCTCTCTAAAATCAGTAAAAACATTAAAACACACACACACACACAAATGGTATAGCCCTGGCCAGTGTGGCTAAGTTGGTTGGAGTGTTGTCCTGTACACCAAAGGGTTGCAGGTTCAGTCTCAGTTTGGGGTGCATACAAGAAGGTAACAATCAATGTTTCTCTCTCACATCAATGTTTCTCTCCTTCCCCTGTCTCTAAAAAAAAAAAAAAAAATCAATAAGCATGTTCTTGGGTGAGGATTAAAAAAAGAAAATGGTACAATTAAAATGGTGGAAGTGACATAAAACAATTATATAACTGCCTAAGAGTCTTCATACATTGTTTAGCCTCATTTTGAATAATATGAAGGAAAGCACAATTTATGTTAAAGTTACACATTTTAAATATAAGGTTCCAAGTTAATGAAGTTCTAAAGTACTTTGATCAGAGTCTTGTAGTTACGTATCTACGCCATTTCTTAACCACTTCTCATTTCCAAACACCAACTGGAAATGCTTCTTTTTTCCTTTTTATGGTTAATCTCGATGTAATTCTGCAGTGGCAGGGAGATTGATCGGTCTCTGTTTTGGTTGCCCAGTGGCTACAAAACTCTGAGTGATCCTAGGAGAGATACTTACCAGCATTGTTTTGCAATCTAGAGGAGTATTTCAAGAGCCAGCTGGGGAGGAAAATGAAACCAAACTGAACTGGTGCGACATCAAGTGCCAGCAGTCTGCAGCTTGCTTCAGTAGATTCTGCTGTGGCTTCCTAACTGAAGGTTCACTCAGAGCCCAGCCAGGTCTCCAAACAGTTTGAGTCCAGGGTAATAATGACTGCACAGGGAGAGAGGGAGATGGGAAAGGGAGATGAGTAAGAAGCTCTAGGCCAGTTTTCATTTTGTTTGCACTATGTCCTGTTCTGATGTCCTTCCGTTTCATAACAGAAGATGTCTCAGGGAGAGTCATTCACCAATTTTAGCTAAGTGAACCTGAGCCCAGGGAGCCTCCTGGGAAAGCCTCTGCCTTCCTTTCCCAGCCCTGGCAGCCACTAACTCATCTTGTGTTTTTATCAGTAACTGGTCTGAGAATTGTAAAAATCTTAAAGGTAATTCAGTCCAACTTCCCACCCCATCTAGGTGTCCTGTCTCTGACGGACACACATTCTGCCTCTGGCTAAATGGTTCCAGAGAAGGGAGAACATCACAACCAATTCCATCTTTTGAAAATTTTCCCTCTGTTAATCTGAAGTCTGCCGTTTTGAAATTTCCACTCTCTGAACCCATGGCTGGAATAAAGACCCTGTGGATATTGCTACTCGGGCACCCTGGTCAAAACCGTTGCTGCTGTTCTCTGAACCAGCACCCATTGCAAATCCCCTTTTCAAAATGTCTCTCAGAATGAAACCTGACACTTCAGATGCAGCCCAAGTGTGCAGAACACACTAGGACTATTATTTTTCTTCTTCTATGATTGAATTTTTGGAAATGCAGTCCAAGATTGCAGTACTTTTTTTGGCAACCACATCTGTATTCTGTTGGCGCCTGTTTAGCTTTGAGTTGAAACCACTGGGGCTTTTTCACATGTGACTCACTATTAAGCTCTGTCTTCCTGTCCTATGTACATGTGACTTTTAAAAAAATATTAAGTGCAGAGTTTATTCAACTTTAAAGTTTAAACCACCATTTATTAATTACCCACTATGTGCTTAATGCTTTTCATATCAATTGTTGACGCCTCCTGGAATCCCATGAGGACGACTCCCTGTGTTTTATAGATGGTGCATTGGGGCTGAAGAGGGAATGACCCTGTCTCCCCACAGATGACCAGCACTGTACAAATTCTCATTTAGGTCTGGAGCCTCATGCACATACCACTTTGGGTTTTTTTTGTTAATCCTCACCTGAGAATATTTTTCAGTTGATTTTTAGATAGAGTGGAAGGGAGGGAGGGAGAGAAACAGAAACATCTGTGTGAGAGAGACACATTGATTGGTTGCCTCTCCACGACCCCAACTGGGGCTGGGATAGAACCTGCAACCCAGGTACAGGGTTTTGAACCCGAGCCCTTTTGGTCTGTGGGCCAAAACTCTAACTGCCAGCCTGGGCGACATACCAGTTTTTTAAAGATTTCTTTAAACCCTAATACTGCCTGGCTGGTTGTTGAGCGTCGACCCATGCACCAAGAGGTCGCCCGTTCGGTTTCCAGTCAGGGCACGTGCCCAGGTTGTGGGCCCGATCCCCAGTGGGGGGCATGCAGGAGGCGGCCAATCGATGTTCTCTCTCACTGATGTTTCTATCTCCCTCTCCCTCCCTCTCTCTAAAATTAATAAAGAAAAAAAAAATCTTCTAAAAAAAAAAATAACCCTAATACTGACCCCCATTGTGTTTACAATCCTTCTCAGTCTTCTCGGTCTTATGACACCTGCAGGTTGAACGTGCCTACTAGGTCATTGCACAGTTTCCCAAAGTTGGGAGGTGGTTAGACTATGCGAAAGCTGCATTTTCCAGCCTCTAGGGCACAAAACCAATTTAGTGAGTCACAACCAGCACTTTAAAAATATGAGCCCTGCCCTAGCCAGTGTTGCACAGTGGTTAGAGTCAACCCACACACCGAAGGGTCACAGGTTCAATTGCCGGTCAAGGGCAGGTACCTGGGTTGCAGGTTCAATCCCCTGCCCCAATCAGGGAATGTGCAGGAGGCAACCAATCACTGTGTCTCTCTTACATCCATGTTGTCCTTTCTCTCCCCTCCCTTCCTCTCTCAAAAAAAATCAATGGAAAAAATATCCTCAGGCAAGGATTAACAATAAAAATATGAGCCTTGGCTGGTGTGGCTCAGTTGGTTGGAGTGTTGTCCCATATACCAAAAGGTGGTGGGTTCGATTCCCTGTCAGTGCACATACCCAGGTTGCAGGTTCAATCACCGGTAGGGGGTGTGCAAGAGGCAGCTGATTGATGTTTCTCTTTCACAGTGATGTTTTTCTCTCTCCCTTCCTCTCTCTAAAAATAAAAATGGTTTTAAAAAAATAAAAATATGGCCCTGGCCAGTTTGGCTCAGCGGTTAGAGCGTCGGCCTGCGGTCCTGAGAGACCCGGGTTCGGTTCCTGCTAAGGGCGCGTACCTCGGTTGCAGTTTGTCCCCGGCCCTGGTCGGTCGTGCGGGTGGCAGCCACTCGATGTGTCCCTTTCACATCGATGTTTCTCTCTCTCTCTGTTCCTCTCTCTCCCTCCCGCTCTACCTGAACAAAAAATGGAAAAATGTCCTCGGGTGAGGATAAAAAAAAAAAAAGAAATAAAAAAGAAATAAAAATATGGACTAGAGTAGAAAGATATCAAAGTCCATCATATGTGGTAAGGGCATATTTTGTTTCTGGAAACTCGTTTTGCATGAGCACAGGACAGGGAAGTGTGTGGGTATGTGTGTGGGGCTGTGCGTATGGGTCTTGATGTAAATTGTTTTTATAACTGGTGCATGGTCTGAATAGTTTGAACACTGCTCTAAAACGATGTTTTTGAGTCAACTTAGTTTGTTTTAATTATAATGTTACAACTTAATTATGTGCACATATAAATCTCTATCAACTCATTAATCTAGCTCCTATAAAATTAATTAAATAACTACCAAAAAGGGAGTAAAATTCAAACCAACATCATCATCCTGGGAGGACGACACTAGTTTGAACCTGAATCGCTGCTGTCAGCACAAGCATTGCACAGACTTGACCCCTGGGCTTGACTTCCACACGCCCACCCTGCTGTGTCTAGTGCAGAGAGACCCAGTCCTCCCCCGCTTCTGAAGAGCTGTCATCCCTCACATAGCACAGATGTATCGTGAGTTAAATGTGCAGAATTAAGTTGTCTTAATCAGCCCACGCAGTTAGAATGGTGCCACTTGGCACTAATACAGTTATAAACACACAGAGGCCCTGAAATGTGCAAATCTGGGGTACGAAACAGTCACCCAGTGATCTATAGTATTTGTTCATTTTTAAAAGATGATCTTCACAGTGAAAACAAGAATAAAATATTCTGGTAGAGAAAGCATGAGCCTCCAAGGAGAAGCCTGCAGACCCTGGTCCTGGGACCCCCATCCCTAGTTTGAAGCACCCTGGTTGACCTTGCAGCAGCAAACTGAGATGGCATGGATCTCAGCACTTAGGTGGAGGCACGTTCAGCTTAGCCCCCAAACTAGATTGTCATCCTGCCTGCAGTATCTTTCCTTCTTGTTCCTAAGAATACTATAAAAATTTCAGTCAGGTGTCATGTTGGAAAAAAAATATGCAGTGTATACCATTCTCCTGATGTATCCAGCCAAAACCCCATAAAACAGATTTATTCAGGATGACATATTCTTTGCAACCCTGTGCTTATTCCTATGATTACTACTTCCTTACCTCAGTAATTGTAGTGCTGTTCAGTCATTTGTTCTAGGGTTTTGCCAAGGATCAGTGTCTGATATTTCAGGATCTACTTCTACTCTGGGTTTTGCCCAGGGCTGCCCTCTAGCTCCTCACTCATTTTAAGGTGTGCTGCTACAAAGTCTCTCCTGCTCTGGAGTGCAGTTTGTATGGCCTTAGGGCCTGAAAACCATTTAAAGCATTGGTGTGCCTTCTTACTAGTCCATCACCAATCCTGGATTCAGCCCCCAATCTCCTTTTCTTTACCTTTTCCCATTTAAGAATCTTTCTCCCAAAGAGAGAAGTCAGAGGCCAGCCGCAATCGAATGGTTCCACTTTCTCCCTAACTTCTATTCAGATACCCAGCATGGGCTCACTGCCTGAGCCATTCTGCCTTTTTGAGCCTCTGACATAACTAATACCCGAAGTTTCTGTACTTCCCGAAATCTACTTTCCAAAGGTCTAGGATACAAGTCAGACTCTGCCCAGTGTCCTTTTTTCCTTTAATGATAAGATGGCTTAGATGCTTTCCCCTCAAATTCTCATGATTTCCATTTACCTATCTTATATTTATTTTAGATCAAACTTAAATTCAGCCCTGGCCAGTTTGGTTCAACGGTTAGAGCGTTGGCCTGCGGTCCAGAGAGACCCGGGTTTGGTTCCCGCTAAGGGCACGTACCTCAGTTGCAGTTTGTCCCCGGCCCTGGCTGGGTCATGCAGGTGGCAGCCACTCGATGTGTCTCTTTCACGTCGATGTTTCTCTCTCTCTCCCTTCCTCCCACTCTATCTGAACAAAAAATGGAAAAATGTCCTCGGGTGAGGATTAAAAAAAACAAAAAAACTTAAGTTCAGAGTAAAGAGTCCTCCTCAACATTCTTTATTTTCCTTTATTAAAATAAAGAACAAGAGAGTATATTTATTGTGAGAAAATTACAAAATACAGAAAAACAAGGAGAAAAGTTATTTGTCAAGCAAAATTCAACCACCAAGAGATAATGGTTTTTAACATTTTAGCATTTTAAGACTTTTCTGCTATATTCATATTTTAAGATGTATACACATGTAAACAAAAATAGAATTTATTTTCATTATATTCCAAGATTAGCTTCCTAGTCTTGGCGATACCTATGGTGCCAACTAGTATGGGCCATACCTATTGTCCTACGTGTAAATTCATGCAAAGCAATTCCCCATATGCTATAGATCAGTACCTGGGCTATTGGGCCTTTGTGGTGAAGTTGAGCATAAAGCACTCAAGACTTTCGCCTGGAGTGGGTGTGTCCTCGTCAGGGAGCCTGACTGAGCAGAGCTCTCTCAGGCTGGCTTGGCATCTGGCTACAGCAGCAATGAGCAGGAATCTTGGCTCAGAGCTAGAGGATTAATTGGGGGAAGGGGCTTTCCCACCCACCATTTAGGAGTGCCGACCTAGCTAGGGAGAGTCAACAGTGCCCCACAGAGAGGGCTCCATAGGTGGCACAGTTTTGTTACGGAATTTGCTCTTGGTATAATCTCAGTATCTTAGTGTTATCTCCGGCTTTATGATGGCTGGAGGGAATAGTCCAGGGAAGGCAGGACCAGCTGTCCACACAGCCTTGGATGGCTAAGTCTGAGGAGAGGAGAAGGTCATCTGCTGAAAAAGATGTTGGGTTGCTAAGCTTGAGTGGGGTTGGTGTGGGGAAAGGTCGTTAACCACTCTTGGAGAAGCAGCAGCAAATAGAGACAAAAGAAAATCTGAGACAAATGGGTTTGAGTTCTTTTTGGGAATTTTGTGCATTACTTTCTTTTCTTCCAACAGATCCACAGACCAGCATGGCTGCCACTGCTGCTGTCAGTCCCAGTGACTACCTGCAGCCCGCTGCCTCCACCACCCAGGTGAGTGGGCAGTGGGCTCTGGGGGTAAGGCAGCATCAGCCTGGAAAGACTCACTGACACTGCCATTGAACTACAACTAAACACTCACTATCAGTACCCCAGGATATGAGGCCAGGGGAAGGTTCAGTTATCTACTGTTTCTGAACTAAGAAACCATGGCCACTAACCTAAGGTGCCACAGTTGGGTCAGGGGCAAAAAGCAGGATTAATCTCAAGGTCTCTTTGAATAGTTCCATTTTCTCCTCAACCTCTATCCAATTCTTAAGACACCCAGTACGGGCTCCACTGAGGAAAATAGAGACTCTGTCCACACCCCAGAGACTGCTTGTAGCCTGGAAAGGGCAGCCTTCCCTGGTCAATTAAGTCATTGTACCATGCACTAGAAAACACTTTACCAGAGGGTTTATTTCTCTTGTTACCCCTCCCCTTCTCTTTCCCTCCCTCCCTTCTTCAGTTGAGGAATCAGGGATCCCTTAATCCCTGTGATGGGCCAACCAACTCGATCTAAGAGCCCAGGGTGTCTGTGTCCCTGTTAGAAACGAGGCCAGGGGAGTATGTGGTTAGCTCGTGCTGTTAGTTCACCCTGTCATCGAGTGCTTCTGGGGCACTCCTTCCTGAGAAAGACCTTTCCTGCACTTTCTCCCTTAATTACTCAGTGTAGAAACCAGCAGGGAAGATAGGACCACTGCAGGGGGAGCATGCTGGTACCCTGCCTGCCACAGAAGTAGGGAGGAGCCTGCCAAGAGAAGAGGATCAAAATGGGCAGAGGGTGGCTGGGCTGCAGGCCCTTATGTCTCACTCCTTTTCTCCACTTGGTTTTTTGCAGGACTCCCAGCCATCTCCCTTAGCCCTACTTGCTGCAACATGTAGCAAAATTGGGCCTCCGGCTGTTGAGGCTGCTGTGACGCCTCCTGCTCCCCCCCAGCCCACACCACGGAAACTTGTCCCTATCAAGCCTGCCCCTCTCCCTCTCAGCCCGGGCAAGAATAGCTTTGGAATCTTGTCCTCCAAAGGAAACATACTTCAGATTCAGGGGTCACAACTGAGCGCGTCCTATCCTGGGGGTCAGCTGGTGTTTGCTATTCAGAATCCCACCGTGATTAACAAAGGGACCCGATCAAATGCCAACATCCAGTACCAGGCAGTCTCTCAGATTCAGGCGAGCAGTGGCCAGACTATCCAAGTACAGCCCAATCTCACCAACCAGATCCAGATCATCCCTGGTACCAACCAAGCCATCATCACCCCCTCACCATCCAGTCACAAGCCTGTCCCCATCAAGCCAGCCCCTGTCCAGAAGTCGAGTACAACTACCACCCCCGGGCAGAGCGGCGCCAATGTGGTGAAGCTGACAGGTGGGGGTGGTGTGACACTTACCCTGCCTGTCAACAACCTCATGAACACCAGCGACACTGGGGCCTCCACTCAGCTCCTCACGGAGAGCCCTCCCATCCCACTGTCCAAGACTAACAAGAAAGCCAGGAAGAAGAGTCTTCCTGCCTCCCAGCCCTCTGTGGCTGTGGCCGAGCAGGTGGAGACGGTGCTGATCGAGACCACGGCGGACAACATCATCCAGGCAGGAAACAACCTGCTCATCGTTCAGAGCCCTGGCGGAGGCCAGCCAGCTGTAGTCCAGCAGGTCCAGGTGGTGCCTCCCAAGGCCGAACAGCAGCAGGTGGTGCAGATCCCCCAGCAGGCCCTGAGAGTGGTGCAGGCGGCATCTGCCACCCTCCCCACTGTCCCCCAGAAGCCCTCCCAGAACTTTCAGATCCAGGCGGCTGAGCCAACATCTACTCAGGTACCATGCACACTCTTTGCACCTGTCTTCCTCTCCTTAGCGTTAAATGGCTAGCGCTCCATCCTACGCAGTTTGCCCTTGAAGATGATGCTGATGCATCTCCTGATTTTGATCTGAATATTCAGAGTCAGTATCGTTTGGGGCAGGCAGTAAGTAGCCACTTCTGCCTGACAAATGGGTTCTCTTCAATTCATAAGGCCAAGTATAGTTTATTTGTAGAGATCAGATGAAACATATCTATATACCTATATTTTGGCCCACTTTTTCTTTATGGAGGTCTTTTAGGGGTGTGTTTAGGGCGCAGGTCCCTACTTTTTAATAATAAACTTTATTTTTATTATAGAATTATATACCCAGAATAGTAGCAAGAATGAAAAAGTTACAGTCAGAACAAAGAATTTGATATAAAGTAAGACAGTAAGAAAAATGCTGATTATTCTTAATGACAAGAAAAAATTAGAAGCAGCAGCCTTGCTTGAGAGAGGAACATTTAGGCTAGTCATCTGGGATGTTAACTTCAACAAGAATGTTCTTATTTTGGGCATTTTTTGAGATGCTCTAATACTCTGGAATCTACTTGGCTCTGTGAGGCAGATTTTATTCATTGTGTATGCCTACTAAACACTAGAGATTATACCTGTGTTGCCGGAAAGTTATAAAGTATCCAAATCTCATAGCACATAGATGTCAAGAGCCAGGATTCAACTCAAATCTCAGACCCCAAACTCTTCCATTTTCCACCTTGACTCATTGTGTCTTATGTGTGGCAGATGCTACAATTAAAATTGAGGATAAAGATTTTTTTTTAATATGAAAAAAACAGCTCCTCCCATTGAGGAATTCATAATATAGTCTTCTATAGAGAGAACCAAGGCATCACAGTGAGTGACAGTAGGAAGTTGGGTAATCTGCTGGGTGGAGAAGTGCCCTTGAGTTTGAGCCGTGGACATGGGAAGTTATGAGAGTCTGCCCTCAAGTGACTCCTCCCTTTTGACATATTATGTATTGCCAGGTGATTGTCTCTAAATTGTTTAATTTACTTATTACAATACCTGTGAGGTCCCATTATCAAACCTACCTTACAGTGAAGAACTGGGTAAAGATGCCCTCATAGTTGTGCACGTCCTCAGCGGTGCCTCCCTCCCTTTCCTGAGGTTCCATGTCTTGAGATTGATGGAGGCAGGGCTTACACCCAGGCCTTCCTAAGGAGATAATCATATGTATGCAGAAAGATTTAGCTACAACATTTTTTTTTTCCTTTTCCTTTTTCTATTATTGATTTTAGAGAGGGAGGAAGGGAGGGAGAGAGAGAGAAACATTGATGTGAGAGAGATACATCAATCAGTTGCCTCCTGTATGTGCCCCGACGAGGGATTGAACCCACAACTTGGGTATGTGCCCTGGCTAGGAACTGAACCTTTGATCTTCTGGTGCACAGGACAACACTCTAGCCAACTGAGCCACACTGGCCAGGGCCAACATTATTTCTTTTTTTTGTTGTTAATCCTCACCCAAGGATATTTTCCCACTGATTTTATTTTTAGATAGATTGGAAGGGAGAGAGGGAGAGAGGGGAGGGAGGGAGGAACATCAATGTGAGAGAGGCACATCAATTGGTTGCCTCCTGCATGACCCCAGTCAGGGCTGGAGATCGAACCTGCAACCCAGGTACATGCCCTTAACCAGGAATCAAACCCACGACCCTTCGGTCTGCAGGCTGACACTTTCACTACTGAGCCAAACTTGCCAGGCCCAACATTCTTTCTTACTGATGACATAGTTTTCCATTATCCTGAAGTGTTTTCTGTTACACCGTTGTTAACTATATCTAGGCTGTTTCCAACCTTAGAGCTAAATAAATTCCTGAAAGTGAATCAAAGGATATGCATATTTTTTTTTAAAATGTATTGTTTTCATCAGCCCTCAGGTCAGATCTGGCCCTCCCATCTGTTTATGTAAATAAAGTTGAAGACATGTCCACTTAAGTTTTGACATGTCCATTTGTGAAGCATTTACACTACAAGGCAGAGACTCATGGCCTGCACAGCCTAAAAATATTTACTCTCTGCCCTTTACAGAAAGTTTGCTGATCCTTGTCTACATTATGAACAGAAAGTTTCCTAGTAACAGAAACTTCAGATACACAGAAAATAGCAATGATCTGCAAAAGGGCACATACCAGAAAGCTGGAAATGAAATTTGTATTTATTAGATGACATGAAATTTGTTTGCTTGCTTTTAACTGAAAAGTACAGTTCTAAATAATTCAGGAATCAAACATAAGCCCAGTCACAGTCACAGCAGGGTGGTTTGTGGTTGTTGATGTTTTTACAAAGAACGTTTCCCCTGAATCATTTGAGCATAAGTTGCCACCAAATGCTATATAGAAAGTATGTAATTCTTACACACAGGGACGTTCTACATAACAACAACCATCAAACGTAGGAAATGAGCAATGAAACACACTAATGTCTAATTCAGAGACCCCATCCAGGTCTCACCACTTGCCCTAATAATTACTTTGTGGCAAAAGGTTCTCATCTGGTATCACATATTGCATTTCATTGTCACATCTCCTTAGTCTCTTGATCTGGAACAGTGCCCCAGTCTTTACTTGACTGTTTTGAAGGCTACAGGCCATTTATTTTGTAGAATGTTCCTCAGTTTAGGTTTGTGTGATGTTTCCTCAAGACTAGATGCAGGTTGTGTTTTTTTGTTTTTTTTTCCCCAGGAATATCACTTTGACACTGTGTAAATATACCATTCCTGATCAGAATTTTGCCTACTTATTTTGGTATCTTTTACTATGATAGACATTTTTTAAATTAACTTTTTATTTTAACTTTTTTTTTTTTTTATCCTCACCCAAGGACATTTTTCCATTTTTTTGTTCAGATAGAGTGGGAGGGAGAGAGGAAGAGAGAGAGAGAGAGAAACATCGACGTGAAAGGGACACATCGAGTGGCTGCCACCCACATGACCCAACCAGGGTCGGGGACAAACTGTAACCGAAGTACGTGCCCTTACCAGGAACCGAACCCGGGTCCCTCTGGACCACAGGCCGGCGCTCTAACCGCTGAGCCAAACTGGCCAGGGCTAAATTAACTTTTTATTTTAGAATAAGTTTATATTTACAGAAAGTTTGCAATGTTAGTACAGTATACCTAGCACTTGGCTTCCACCATTGTTAAACATCTCACATTACCAGGGTATATTTGTCAAAACTAAGAAACTGACATTGGTACATTACTATTACCTAAACTCCAGACTTGATTTGGATGTTAACAGATTGCCATTAACGTCCTTTTTCTGTTCCAGGATCCCGTCCAGATAACCACATTGCACTTAGTGGGCATGTCTCCCCAGGCCCTTTTGGTCTGTTAGTTTCTTAGATTTTTGTTTTTTTATGATCTTGACAGGCTTGAGGTACATGGGTCAGGTATCCTGTAGAATGTCCCCAGTCTGGGGTTATGGGTTTTTGGAAAGAACCCTACAGAGGCGAAATGCCCCTCATCACATTGTATGAGAGGTACATATGTCCACATGACATCTCTGATGTCAGCCTTTCTCACTTAGTTAAGGTGGTGTTTGCCTGTTTGCCAGGTTTTTCCACTGTAAGTTGTTACTTTTCCCTTCTCTACTCTATCCTTTGGAAGCTAGTCCCTAAGTCTCCCACCTTCCTGGTGGGAGTGGGAATGAGAATTAAGTTCCTCATCCTGGAGGGGAAACTACATAATATTATTTGGAATTCTCTCTTAAAGAAGATTTATCTCTTCTCCATTTCTTTCTTTCTTTTTTTCTTTATTGATTTTTAGAGAGAGAGGAAGGGAGACGGAGAAAGACATAGAAACATCAATGAGAGAGAACATCGAATGGCTACCTCCTGCATGCCCCCCACTAGGGATTTGGCCCACAACCTGTGTATGTGCCCTAACCAGGAAGTGAACTGGCGACCTATGGGTACATGAGTCGAAGCTCAACCACTGAGCCACACCAGCCGGGCTACATTTATTTCTTTATTCAATCATTTACTTATATCAGTAGGGACTTGTATATTTATCTTATGCTTTGGGTTATAATTCAATACTACATTATTTTTGTTGCTAACATTGTTCCAGCTTTGGCCATTTGGAGCTCTTTCAGGTTGGCTCCTTGTATCCCTATGACTACTCTCATTCTTTTTTTTCTAGTAAGTTTTATTGAGATATTCACATACCATAAAATTCATCCTTTTAAAGTATACAACTCAGGAGTTTTTAGTATATGCACAAAGTTATGCAACCATCCCTACTATCTAATTTTAGAATATTTTTATCACCCCAAAAGAAACCCTTCTTTGATGGTCACTCCCCATTTCCCCCTCCCCCCAACCCCTGGCACCCATTAACTCTTTTTCTATTTTTATGGATTTGTATATTCTGGACAATTCATGTAAATGTAATCATACAATAGATGATCTCTTGCAACTGGCTTCTTTCACTCAGTGTAATGTTTTTGAGGTTCATCCATGTTGTAGCATGATCCAGTACTTCATACCCTGTGTTTTCCCAGCCCCAGCCCTGGGATCAACCATTTCTCCTAGAAGCCCTGGTTCTTTTTTTTTTTTTTTAATCCTCGCCCGAGGACATTTTTCCATTTTTTGTTCAGATAGAGCGGGAGGGAGAGAGAGGAAGAGAGAGAGAGAAACATCGATGTGAAGGGACACATCGAGTGGCCGCCACCCGCACGACCAACCAGGGCCGGGGACAAACTGCAACCGAAGTACGTGCCCTTAGCGGGAACCGAACCCGGGTCTCTCTGTACCGCAGGCCGACGCTCCAACCGCTGAGCAAAACCGGCCAGGGCAGCCCTGGTTCTTTTTATTGAAGGATGTGATAGCAGTTTTCTTAATTCTGTCATTCTCTTTCCCTCCATTTATTTGTGTCAGTGTGGACTAATAGATTCCTATTTTATTCAGTGGGCTATAACCCATTTGTTTTTGTATTTTGATGTTCAAATTGTCCCATACTTGACCAGTGGGAGTCCCTTCAAGCTGGCTCTTGTGTCTTTCACATGTGACCACCGTTCTTGGACCACTTCCCTACTTTCTGGTACAACAGGTGTTTCAAGCTCCTCTTGTATTTTCCCTGCCCACAATCCTGGAATCAGCTGTTTCTTCAAGGAGCCCTGGTTTCTTTCAGTGGAGCATAGGACTTAGAAGCTGAAACCTTGCTCCTGGAGTGTTGCTGCTCGCAGCCCTTCTCAGTGGACACAGCTCAGAAGTATCTATAAATATACATAGATACGCATATGTAATAGCTAGATGAAGATATTGACATGCACACCATATCTCTCTATAGCTATATCTATATCTGTGTATCTACATTGAAACCCATGAGGTTCCACCAAGACCTCTAATTCCCACCCAATACCACAGGGTTCATTGTAGTTTTCTCCCTTTCCATATTTGTAATTCCCTTCTCTGACAGTGAGAATCCTCATTCCTATTATCCTTAATATATTTCCTTTCTGGCCTTGGCCAGTTTGGCTCAGCGGTTAGAGCATTGGCCTGTGGACCAGAGAGTCCCGGGTTCGATTTCCGCGAAGGGCACGTACCTCAGTTGCAGTTTGTCCCTGGCCCTGTTGAGGTTGTGCGGGTGGCAACCATTCGATGTGTCTCTCTCACATTGATGTTTCTCTCTTCCCCTCTCTCTCCCTCCTGCTCTATCTGAAGATAAATGCAAAAATGTCCTCAGGTGATGATAAAACAAAACACAAGTGTGTGTATATATATATTTCCTTTCTGGATCAGTTCCCCGTGAATGTGACTAGTCTCCCACAGCCATCTCAGCTCTGCCATGTGGACACCTCAGCCTGCTAGGGCACTGACACCCAGGCCAAGCTGCTATTGCCTCTCCCCTTCAAATGCCCTTCTTGTCCCATCAGGCTCTCGTGTGTGTGTGTGTGTGTGTGTGTGTGTGTGTTTATCCTCACCCGAGGACATTTTTCCATTTTTTGTTCAGATAGAGTGGGAGGGAGGGAGAGAGAGAGAAACAACGACATGAAAGGGACACATAGAGTGGCTGCCACCCGCACGACCAACCAGGGCCGGGGACAAACTGCAACCGAGGTACATGCCCTTAGCGGGAACCAAACCCAGGTCTCTCTGGACCACAGGCCGACACTCTAACCACTGAGCCAAACCGACCAGGGCTTTCACATGTATATTTTTAAGGCTTCTGATACATATTCCCAAATTTCCCTCCAGCAAGTCTAGACTGCTCATCACTCATACTCCTGTTTCCTTGCTGTCTCACCAACAAGAAGCATCATATTTTATTTTTCCATCTTTGCCATTCTGAATGGGAGAAAAACTGTTTTTCTCAAGAAAAGAGCTGTTTTCATTCGTTTGATGGTGATTGCATCTTTTGTGAGGTCATCATTTAGTTGCTTTCTGATTCTCCAGTTCTAAGATTTGGCAATTCTGTTTTTCCATGCTAAGTAAATTAAATGTTTGGTTTCGAATCAACAGTCACCATTTGCCAGCTTGGCACAGGTATGCCGTAGCCCTTTGTTGATCATGGACCGTGTAAGGATGTAAGTTTGGGCTAGTTGGAGAAGGCTTGGGCAGACAAAGGCACTCCCACTTCTTACATGGGCAGGGAGATGAGACTGCACTCACTGAAAGGTGCCAGCAGCCCAGTCTGTCCTAGGACACTGACTGTTTCTCTCTGGTCCCTCCCAGGTCTACATCCGTACACCTTCCGGTGAGGTGCAGACAGTCCTTGTCCAGGACAGCTCCCCAGCAACAGCTGCAACCACCTCCACCACCACTTGTAGCAGCCCAGCAGCCCGTGCTCCCCATCCGAGCGGGACGAGCAAAAAACACTCAGCCGCAATTCTCCGGAAAGAGCGTCCCTTGCCAAAGATCGCCCCCGCTGGGAGTATCATCAGCCTGAATGCAGCCCAGCTGGCTGCGGCAGCCCAGGCCATGCAGACCATCAACATCAACGGTGTCCAGGTCCAGGGTGTGCCTGTCACCATCACCAACACCGGCGGTGAGGGAAGGCCCCTGGGCCAGGGCGGGGGTGGTGTGCCTGCACACTCTTCACATGGAAACTGGGAGCCAGCCCCATGCGTCCCAGTAACAGCAGTAAGGAGACTGCCTGAAACTTGCCTTATCCCTTCCAGCTTAAAAGCACATCCACTTGTCCTTACAGTAGCCCCATGAGATAGTTTAAGGTGCATGTTGGCCCCGCCTGATAGCTGAAGACTTTGAATATGGTGGAGAAAATAAGGTATACTTAGGAAGACACACAAATGCAAATTCGTCTGGTACAGACCAAAGACAGATCTTCAAGGGAGCCCCTGGTAAAGAAACTTGAGGGAAAGCGTCCACAATGAGGAAAGCCTTGAGTTAAAGTTGGAAGGAAAGGAGGGAGCCTTTGGCAGTGGGGATGGCTTATGTACTTCAGCTGAGTGGGGATAGTTGGTAATATATATAGTATGAAAACAGCCTTGCACATCATCAAAGGAACATTGTAGCTACCTAGCAAAAATGGTTCCTTGCCTTGCCTTCTTTAGCTAGGTGAAGGGCCCTTTTCAAGGTAGTGGCACTCTAACACCAGCAACAGGTCAGCTATACTCTCCTGCTTTGAAAGGCTTTGTGCAAGTCTTAGAGGACTTGATTTTTTCCAAAGCCCTTAGAACTGTTTTCTTGCTCTTAATCCTCACCCGAGGACATTTTTCCATTTTTTGTTCAGATAGAGTGGAAGGGAGAGAGAGAGAGAAACATCAATGTGAAAGGGACACATTGAGTGGCTGCCCCCTGCACGATCCAACCAGGGCCGGGGACAAACTGCAACCAAGGTACATGCCCTTAGCAGGAGCCGAACCCGGGTTTCTCTGGACCGCAGACCAATGCTCTAACCGCTGAGTAAAACCAGTCAGGGCTGTTTTCTTACTCTTTTTTTTTTTTTATTCTCACCCGAGGACATTTTTCCATTTTTTTGTTCAGGTAGAGTGGGAGGGAGAGGAACAGAGAGAGAGAGAGAAACATCGATGTGAAAGGAACACATCGAGTGGCTGCCACCCGCACAACCGACCAGGGCCAGGGACAAACTGCAACCGAGGTACATGCCCTTACGGGAACCGAACCCAGGTCTCTCAGGACCACAGGCCAACGCTCTAACCGCTGAACCAAACCAGCCAGGGCTGTTTTCTTACTCTTATTAACAAAAATACCTAGATGTTTTCCTGAGAGCAGAGTTGGTATCTCAGAAGGGCCTAAGGCTGGAGAAAATTCTGGAAGAAACACTCCCCAAGACAAGACCCTTCCAAATTGATATATGTGGGCAGCGTCTGAAAGCAGGCTCAGCCTGTGCGGTTCAGCACATGGACTCTGATGTCAACTGCCTGGGTTCAGATCCGAGTTCTACCACTTATTAGCTGTGTGACTTTGATATGTTATTGAACCTCAGTTTCTTCAACTGTGGGAGGAGGATTATAATACCTGTTTCATAGGGTTTTGAAGGTTGAAGGAGTTAATACATTTAAGGCCTCTAAAGTGGTATCTGGTATCTAGCAGGGTCTCAAAAGTATCAGCTGCTGCAGTTATCTTTATCATATACAGAAGGGAAGAAGGGTGTCAGGCTCTCTGCTCTCCCCCTTCAAGCTTCCTCACCCCAAGCCATGCCCTCCTACTCCCTGCAGGGCAGCAGCAGCTGACGGTGCAGAATGTTTCTGGGAACAACCTGACCATCAGTGGGCTGAGCCCCACCCAGATCCAGCTGCAGATGGAGCAGGCCCTGTCTGGAGAGGCCCAGCCTGGGGAGAAGCGACGCCGCATGGCCTGCACATGTCCCAACTGCAAGGATGGGGACAAGAGGTAATTGGAACCAGACCAGCAGCTTGGTATGTGCCCTGTTCCCCAAGCTCCTTCCTGGGACACGGATCAAGAGGACATGGTAGCGGCTCACGCCACCTGGCCTCCTCACTTCTCCTGTGCTTTGTGACCTGATCCCATATCCTGTCTCCACCCTGCCCCCCCCCCCCAATCTTATGTCTCCTCCCTCACTCCTTCTCCCTTTCCCTCCACCCCACTCTCCATTCCCAGATCTGGAGAGCAGGGCAAAAAGAAGCACGTGTGCCATATCCCAGACTGTGGCAAGACTTTCCGGAAGACGTCCTTGCTGCGGGCCCATGTGCGCCTGCACACCGGCGAGCGGCCCTTTGTCTGCAACTGGTTCTTCTGTGGAAAGAGGTTTACACGGAGTGACGAACTCCAGCGGCACGCCCGCACCCACACAGGTCTGTTCCCGCTCCCCTGCGGCACACTGCCATCCAGATGCTTCACCCCTTCCCCTGACACGTTTGCACCCACACAGGTCTGTCCCCAGCCTCTCCCCCCACCCCCACTCCACTGCCTTCAGTGACACCCAGATTCCTGGCCCTGCCAAGGAATTGAGCAAGAGCTACAGACTGTCTTCGTAGAGGTCTGAGCCCACCCAGGAAATGCATTCAAGCCACTCCTTTATCAGTGTTTCCCAAAGCAATGTCATTTGCATTATGCAGCCTTGATGACTTCTTCCATAGCTGCATAGTTATTTATTTAACAAGCGCTGATGTAGTATGCCAGGCACTGTACTGTGCCCTTTACAGATCTACTAATCCTCAACAACTCTGTGGAGAGGATGCTTTGATTATGCCCACTTTACTGAGAGACAGAGAGGTGGCTAGGTCATGCAGCTGGTGACTGGTAGAGCTGGGTTGAGACACAGGCCCTCTGGCTCCCAAGTCGTCTCCCCCCCCTTTTTTTTAATCCTCACCCGAGGACATTTTTCCATTTTTGTTCAGATAGAGTGGGAGGGAGAGAGAGGAAGAGAGAGAGAAAGAAACATCGATGTGAAAGGGACACATTGATTGGCTGCTTCCTGCACAACCTCAACAGGGGCCGGGGACAAACCGCAACCGAGGTACATGCCCTTAGCAGGAACTGAACCTGGGTCTCTCTGGACCGCGGGCCGACGTTCTAACTGCTGAGCCAAACCAACCAGGGCCCAAGTTCCCCCTTTTTTTAAGAGGGAAGGGAGAGAGAGATAGAAACATCGATGTGAGAGAGATACATTGATCAGCTACCCTGCTGGGGATCGAACCCACAACCCGGGCATGTGTCCTGACTGGGAATCAAACCAGGACCTCTTAGTCCATGGGGCAACA